GAAAAGCTATTACTATTTGGAATTACGGGCAGTGCATTTCAACTCCTAAAATCATATTTATCCAATCGTACCCAAAAATGTGAAATAAACGGCTCTACTTCTAAAGAAAATATTGTAAAATGTGGCGTACCCCAAGGCTCCATATTAGGACCATTATTCTTTCTGCTATGTATTAACGATCTACCATCTTGTCTAAATGAAACTAGACCCCGGATGTTTGAAGACAACACAAATATTACAGCATCCGGAAATTGCATGAATGATATTGAATCTGCAGTAAATTCGGATTTAGAAAGACTTCGAAAGTGGCTTATGGCAAATAAACTGAGCTTAAACGTAGCGAAAACTGAATTTCAATTAATTGGCACTAAACATATGCTTAAAAAAATTAGTGATTACCAGCCAGCAGTTACTATTCGAAATAAACCAATAAAGCAAGTTTTCCAATGCAAGACTTTAGGAGTTACAAAAGCTTCAAAACAGCAGCTCGCATCATAGCAAGTGTACCGAACGATGTTGATCAGCAAACTGTATTGGATTTATTAGGATGGAAAACATTAAAAGAACAACGATTAAAAACTAAAGCGAAAACGATGTTTAAGATACTTCATAATATGGGGCCAAATTGCCTCAAAGACTTATTCATTTTCAAAAAAAATGAAATATTGAATCATAATCTCCGTGACAGCTCGACCACATTACGGTTGCCAAAGCCACGTTCGAACAGTTTAAAAAAGAGTTTCATGTATGACGGAGCTGTCATATGGAACTCTTTGCCAGAAATTATTAGAGAAAGCAAAACGCTATCAATTTTCGAAAGGAAAATCGCTACCCATTCTTATTAAAGCATGAATGTAAATAGAAATTAACGTATATTATATAGTATATTTTCTTTTTCACATATATGCATGTAATTTCTTACTACCTTTATCTTGTTTGTGTGATGTTACTCTGAGTGTATATCCACACCGGGCAGGCTTGAAAAATATGCCTGGCCACGGCGGGATTCGAACCTAAGACCTTTGGAATACTAGCCCAATGCTCGAACCGTCCTGACCGCGTAGCTCAGTTGGAAGAGCATTGGGCTAGTATTCCAAAGGTCTTAGGTTCGAATCCCGCCGTGGCCAGGCATATTTTTCAAGCCTGCCCGGTGTGTACATCACACAAACATCTTATTCACCTGAGTACATTACACCAACTCAGCAGATTTACCTTTATCTTTTTTTCTTGTAAATTTACTTTTGTTCACACGCCCATTGTGTGGAAACCAGCTTTAGCTGACAATGTTAGCGTGGTTAAATAAAGTTTATCATCATTATAACCACTGATGGTTATAACTCGATTTTATTATTGTTATGGCGGAAGCCGCTGACCAGCCAAATAATTCAGCTGCATGATGTATACAGAGGTTTAAAAATCAGTAAAAATCCACAATTGAGAAACTTACAGCAAAAATCATAATTTTAGCCCTCAAATTGACCCCCCTGGAACTTTGCCAAAATGCAATTAGACTGAAAACAAAATGCATTTTGAAACAACCCTTATAAGAGATATACATGCGTAAAAATTGAGAAAATCAATAACTTGTTGCAGGTTGATATCAACAGGCGTGAACAAGGTTGTGCGGTCCACTATGAACAGTATTGTCAACATGTTGTTACAGCATTATTCAACTGTAACATCTTGGAACAACATGGTTGACAACTTGTTCATAGTTGGCCGCACAACATTGTTCACGCCTGTCGATATCAACTTGGAACAACCTATGCGTTTTTAGCCGTGTACTATTGTTCGAGTCAGGACTCGAGCTAGGACTCGAGTCAGGATCAAGGACTCGATCAAGAAAATGCGAAAATACGGGGAATTGCCATTACTCAGTGTTTTTATTTCACAAGACACGTCACGCACGCTAGCTAAATGTTCTACTACTAGCAAACAAACTCTGGATTAATTAAATTTGATAATACAGTTAATTTGGTGATATTGGCATCTATTACAGGAATATAGGGCATCTATTACAGGAATATAGGGCAGTGGAGAATTATCTTACTCTTTGGTGAATGCTAAGTGGCAACCAATGAGCGGCAACAAGTATCTGTTTTGTAAAGAGCGAGAGACTATATACTACTATTCGATAAAATATGCTGGCCGAATATTTCTCTATTTTGAAAATCGGTATTTGTTCGATAGATCAAACACAAACAACAACAATGGTATTGACTATTGTTTAATTCACTGTCTTCCGACGCTGATAACCGTTACAGTTATAGCCAAAGTCAGATGAGACTGATAGCTCTGTATGTACAAATATACCAAATATAAACGTTCTATAGTTCTTTTATCGACTCTGGTGGAAAAAGGCAGGAAATTGTTCACTTGATAAACAATTTAATTGCTTTTCTGAAACTTTCACCTCTGTTCATATTAAATAATTTTGTGTTTTTAATTTAAATCAAGGATCACACAAGAGGTTTTTGATAATACTTTTATTTTAGCTACGTTTCGGATAGTTTACTATCCGTCCTCAGGCTAACAAATTGTTCTTACATTTGACGTGTACAACTTTTAAACGTTCATCTCACGCAAGCTAATTTAAATTAAACTGCGTGCGCGCACGCGCGCGCTCGTTTTCCTTACTAAAGTATTTGCTTAATATTGGTCTCCAAGTCATCAATCAAAACTGTTTAAAACTTTCTTTTTGTTATGCCTTACCCTAAGAGACTCAATTCCTTCTATAACTTTCCGCTGTCTGGATTTCAGACTTTTTGAGGGGAAGACTACAAAGGGTAAAACTTTCCCCGAACTGTTTTTCCAATTGGAAACCTGTCAATGCTGGAGTCCCTCAAGGAACTAAACTCGGCCCATGGCTCGTTTTGCTGATGATCAATGACCTTGTAGATTCTAACGATCAATTTGATGGGGATAGGATGAAATATGCGGACGATACTAATATTTCAGAATACATCACCGATCAGGCAGAAAACAGTTCTCTGCAAGAAGTAACTAATTCTATTGTTGACTGGTCTGAAAGAAAGAAATTCCAGCTTAATCCATCAAAATGTAAAGAATTTGTTGTGTCTTTTAAACGGAATGAACCAAATTTCCGCCCATCAGTATTAATCAATCACAAATCGAACGAGCTGACAAAATATCGATTCTTGGTTTAACAATCAGAAAGGACTTGAAATGGAACGATCACGTGGAAAAAATAGTCAATAAGGCATCCCAGCGAATTTACCTGTTGAAACAGCTCAGAAGGTTTGGACTTGATGCTGGTGATCTCAAGTGCTTCTATGTCGCTTCAATAAGGTCAATACTGGAATATTCATGCCAAGTTTTTCATTATGGCTTGCCACAATACCTATCTGATGTTATTGAAAGGATTCAAAAGAGAGCACTGCGCATAATTTACCCTCAACTGTCCTACCAGGATGCTCTAGACATGTTAGAATTAAAGACTTTATCTACACGCAGGGGTGATTTATGTAAGAAACTTTTTAACTCGATTCTGGACAATGAGGACCATAAGCTTCACAACTTACTGCCACCTAAGGTGACATCCGATACATATAATTTTAGGAACGAAAAACTTTTTAATATTCCAAAATATCGCACTAATAGATATAGAGATACTTTTATAATATCTAGTCTAATAAACTCGTAAAAATTGGTATTTTATAATACAGAACTAATAGTTAAGAGATACTTTTTATAATATTAAATTAGGAATTTTTGTAATTGTTTTAAACACTTTATATAAGAATCATGTAATTCAGCTCTATGCATGGCTGCTAGGTGATTTTAATAAACAGATTATCTATCTATCTATCTATCTATCTATCTATCTATCTGTCTTAATCTACACTCGTTTCTCAATATTCGCGTTTTCTCCCAGTCTATTTCTTCCGTACACTCTATACTGTGCCTTGCTAAACCTCCGTCTTCTTTCCCCATTCGTTCTTCTGCCACCGCCATTCGTCCATTTCTCATATCCTCGTTTGTTAATCTTACTTTGCTCTCGTGTTCCTTCTTTCTCACCTTAAACAACCTCGACGTTTCTCCTACATACACCGCTTTCTTGCGCTTGCATGGGATCTCGTAAACAACAGATTTTTGTTTTTCGCCAAGTGGTTGTTGAGCTCTCGCCTTCAATTCCATTATTTCATTCCCTGGTTTAAATGTCCGAAATGAATGTTTGGAAGCTAATCTTTTCAGTTGTTCCGATAAGCCCTGGATGTAAGGTACAATTATCATTCCTCGATACTCTTTCTCTTCCGACTCATTCCTTTCGCGTTTATCCTCTCGCATGTATTCTCGAACCTTCTGTCTTTCGAAACCATTTGCCACAAACACATCTTCTACGTTCTTTAGTTCTTCCTCTAGGTGTTTCTCATCACATAACGCTCGCGCTCTGTCTGCAAATCCTTTGATGATGCCTTTTTTCATACAAGGAAGATGATTCGATTTCGCTTTCACATTGATGTTGGTGTGTGTCTTCTTTCCACCTTTTGTTTCAAATCCAGTACTGGCAACGTATCTTCTACCTGATTTTCTTTCGTGAATACAATGACGTCTGGTTTAATGCTATTCAGGTGTCCGAGTATTCCTTCTGATTAATCTTCCTTGCACTTCATTTCACTGTCGTCTACATACCAATACCATTGATCTAGGGGATAGGGGATATGGAGATGTTTGCATTGCACGAATTTGAAACTCTTCCATATAGATTATGGCGACCTCACCAGTTACTCTAATACGTAATGCTTGCCGTCAAACTCACAATAAGACAAACCAAACATCCATTTCAATATTTCCATTACCGACTGTACGGTTAAGTCAGTTACTAAGGTTTTACTTTCTCTTAACAACTTTTCAATCAATTTTAATGCTTCATCTATTGGAATCGATGGATATAAGTTCTTCACATCATAACTCACGAGTATCTAGTTTCTTTCCACACGCCAGTTCTTAACTTTTTCTTTCAATTCTCGCGAATTTTTTTAGATTCCCTGAATTGTTCTCAGAATTGGAATGACAAATCTTGATAGTTTTTCAAAAGGCGATCCTACCGTTGAGACCACACCTCTTAATGGAACACCATCTTTGTGGATTTTTGGCAATCTTGATAACCTAGGGGTGTGACAATCCTTTGGTTTTAACCGTTCCGCATCCTCTTTTGAAATTTCTCCTCTTTCGACAATCGTTTCGATAACCCTTGTACCATCTCGACAAACTTTATCAGTCAAATCCCAGTCCTTTTTTGCTCTTATGGAAGGTTTTGCCTTGAGATCAACCAATACTTGTTTCATTTTGTATTCATAACTTTGTTCACCACCTTCATTTTCAAATCTGTCCATAGCTACCATTATCCGTCCTTTATCTGCCGGTAAGAATACTTTTATTTTATCTTGTGGAGCCTTCTTTTTTCCATTTAACTCTTCTTTCGTCAAATTCGTTTTATACTTTTTGTGTCTAGCTTTCTCCAAAATAACTTTTACATTTTCACGTATGTCACCAATTTTATGTTCAACTATTTCTTCATCAATTTCATTAATCTCGCCTTCTCTCTTTATCTTTGTACACATTTTCTCTGTTTCTGCTATAATACGTTCATACAGAACTCTTGTGGGAGCTTCACAAAAATCTGGTCCCAGAGACAAGTAGCTCTTAATATCATTGTCGATACCATCTTTCGTGAGATCAATGACTTCATTCTTTATCTTTTCTTTCTTCATTCTTTCGTGGTCTTTTAACAATTGTCTATTTTTATTCTCGAGATCTTCTTTTTCATCAATGCGTCAAATTTTCTCACCTGTCTCTTCTTCACACTCTCGTTTTCTCTGTTTTCAGAAACTCTGATAACTTGCTCTACCCAATGAAAATCATCTTGCGTAAAAGTTTCTTTCAAATCCTTTAAAATATCTCTCTTTTGCTGATATATATATAATATAGTTTTCGACGAATATCTTTAATCCGGGTTTGTACTCGAGTAGTTTCCAATCTTGTTTTCATTCGTGTAACATTACGTACTTTAAACTCATCTTTTAATAACCGTACTCGAAGTCCTTGTGGAACAACACCTCTATCTCTGCATCTTCTTAAGAATTTTAGATGATTCTTTAGTCTTACTTGTTTTAATGTACACTTTTGTAAGTTGTCTGTTTGTTTCAATCCGCGGCTCCCGTACCGATATTTAATTGCTTTTCTGAAACTTTTACCTCTGTTCATACTAAATAATTTTGTGTTTTTAATTTAAATCAAGGATCACACAAGAGGTTTTTGATAATACTTTTATTTTAGCTGCGTTTCGGATAGTTTACTATCCGTCCTCAGGCTAAAAAATTGTTCTTACATTTGACGTTCTTTAATTGTTCTTACATTTGTTCTTACATTTGTTCTTACATTTGAGGTAAACAATTTAACATTCCTTAGGTTATCGATAAACAATTCCTCAGATTCAGTAAAATTTCCTTAAACATTTCGCATTGTTGGTGAAAGAATAGTCTAAATTTCCCGAGTTTAAAGAAATTCCTTAAAAGTGAGAGGCGCTGTCGATTAATTTCCATCCGTCAAAATCACCTGACGTCATTTTTGGCTCGAGTCCCAGGTCGAGTCCTAGGTCGAGTCCTAGCTCGAATCCTGGCTTGTTAAATAGATTAGGTTTCCTCCCATTATAAATTAAAAAGGCAATCTCAACTGCAAAGTTTGCGAGAAATCTATTTGTTGATACTTTTTACTTAGACGCTAATAAGATTGAACTGCTATACAGTATGAAAATGCACCTATATAAGCAAACGACATATTAATTCAGCTGCGTTGCAGAATTTGTTACTAAATTTGAGTAGGGCAATTTCTGTGCAATCGCTTGACCAATTCATTTCTTGAGAAATATTTTTTTCGCGATTTTTTCGCGATAGTACAATACAGATATTCTATGTCATTTCATAAAATTCATAGATGACATCACGACAGTTGTACCTTTGAATTTAATTCATTTTAGTTTTTTCTGATTTCTTAAAAAATCAAATGAAATCCTGCATATGCATGCAATAAACTAGCATACTTACTGCACCAGTGACTGTTTATTGAAAACTTCGATTTTTCGTAATTTTTAGGTGTAGAAAATTGGTTTAACCAGTTTCGAAAATCTAGTTATCCAGGCTCATAGATATCGGTAATATCGAAAACAAAATTACCGAGTTTCTATTTTAGTGCCGATACCAATTGTATTATACTTCATGTTATTTATATTTATATTTGAATAAAAGTCATATTTCCAAAGCCACCGTGAAATGTTCTTTTTATTATATGGCCAAAATAAATTTCATCAAGATGTTTTGTAGCTCACCGTACGGCAACAATGTTATGTCTCTCCGCTCGTTTATCGAGGCTAAATAGTCGCCGAAGATCGCCAAATCGGACTTAGTCTTCCTTTTTGTGTTTTCATTTTCTTCAGAAAACCTTGCCAAATCAGCGTCGGAAACATCAACAAAATGTCGAGAAGTTGCCACATTGTATATTCAAAACAGAAACGGAAAAATGGCGGGAATTAGCGTGAGTCCCGCGCGAGACGTTCCCGCGTAAGATATGATTTCATATTTCACTATAGTGAAATACGGGGAATATCAGTGGCGTATTTTACGGTATTTTACTCATATCCATATAATAAATATATATATATATATATATATATATATATATATATATATATATATATATATATATATATATTTAAAATACTCATTAATAATTCATAAACCTTGTGGCAAATCATGTCAGCCATAATATGTCACGTGGAGTGACTTTATATATGATAAAACACATGTGGCATTATATAATTGTTCATCTTAATTAGCATGATTATACTATGGTTCATCCTAATTAGTATTCGTTTGTAGTCGTATTTGAA